TTAGCTTAAAAAGCCGGACATGTCCGGGGGAATCCGGACGAATGGTAACCCTAGTAGTGTAGATGCTTCCTACATTGATAGAAGTGGTTTTTCCATCACTCTAGTTAATCCCCCTTTCTGAGAGGCTTTAGCCAGGTCACCAGAGGAATTCCATTGTCAGCACTGGGGGTTAGGTCGATCTAGCTGTGGCACTCAGATCACACAGTGTTTCCCAGCCCTGAGTGACCAGATTGATCTAAGTGTTAAGTGTAGAGCAGGCCTAAGAGGGGTTTCTCTGGAGCTGGCTGAAAACACAGGGGCTGAGGGATTGGCTGGCAGCTTGGTGTGCATGAGGCAGAAAGCCAAGAGAAGCAGTCGTGAGTGTGATCCCGGGAGGAAACGGAGAGACAGAGCTGGCTTCAGGCACAGGGTTCCTTGGAATGCAGATGTGGAGTTCTGAGTAAGGAAACTGACAGCTGCTGTTTGTTTGTACCGGGCACAGGAATGTGTGGACATTGTTTGTAAATAATAAAGATTGCACCAAAGAAATACCTGACTCCTATCATCAATTTATCCTTCCAATGGAAGAACCTAGCAAGGCCCCAAACACTAGCTAACTGTTGAGGTCAAAGGAGCGATGGTACAACCCGAGTCAGAATCTAGACCTGTGGAGGCAAATGTGTTCAGGGGAAACATTTGCAGGGAGCTCCAGCAGCAAAGAGCCTGTGCAGAGGAGTAGATTGCTGCTCACTGGACTTCAGCATGTCCAGCTTTGTGGGCCGAGCAGTCCCCATTGTCCCGTATCTCCAGCCTGACACTCCCCTGCCCAGAGTCAGACAACTGACAGCTGGGGCCCCCAAATGTGAGCCTGGAGCCTGGCTGACTTCTCAGGATATCTCGTATTTCCCCCCAGCAGAACCAGTCCACACAGTGATTATGGGCTCAGTATTGGACCAAGGAGAAAAAATGACTGGAAGATACTGAAGCAGCTGGAATGGGGTGGGGGATGGGGGTGGGGAGTGGGTAGGAGTGTTACTTTCCCTTCTGTGCATGGAGTTTTACAAATATTAAACGTAAAATCTTTCCAGCTCTTAGCACTGGAGCGGGAGGGCTCCAGCAGTTAGCCCAGCTGTCAGCTGGGGCAAGGGGATGGGGGGCAGCTGTCAGCCCTGCACCAATGTGAACGATTGCTCTGGGGTCCTCATCCACCATAAGTGCCAACTCCGTGGGTGCTCCAGGGTTGGAGCACCCAAGTGGAAAAATTGGTGGGTGCTCTGCACCCTCCGGCAGCTCCCCGCCCCACCCCCAGCTCACCTCTGCTCCGCCTCCGCTTCCTCCCCCGAGCACGCCACGTTCCCGCTTCTCCCCCTAGCTCCCAGTGCTTGTGCCACGAAACAGCTGTTTCGCGACAGCAAGTGCTGGGAGGGAGTGGGGAGGAGAGGGAATGCAGCGTGCTCCGGGAAGAGGCGGGGCCGGGGTGGGGATTTGGGAAAGGAGTCCAATAGGGACAGGGGGGGGGGTGGAGTTGGGGCAGGGTCTTTGGGGGGAAGGGGCTGGAATGGGGGTGGGGCAGGGGTGGAGTCGGATTGGAGCTGAGAGGTCGAGCACCCACCAGCGCCGGGAAAAGTTGGCGCCTGTGTCATCCACCACTCTCCAGCTGTGAGCTGTGTGTGTGCGGCAGGCAGGGAAGGAGGCAGTGTGCAGCAGGCAGGGAAGAAGGCAGTGTGCCCAGCTCCCCGGTACAAGAAAACAAACATGATACACAAATCGGCAGCTTACAGGTACTGAGGTCCCTGCCCCAAAGAGGTTGCAGTCTATAAAGATGAGTAGAGACAAATTCCCCCTCCCCTCCAAATAAACATTTGTGCGTGTACTTTATTTTCAAACATAGTTTGAGAATCTTCTGAATTTTCTGCTGTTCTAAGATTGCATTTACCCAAAATAAATAATAGCCCTTTGCCAGAGGCAGACCTTTTTAAAAATATCTGATTTCTACGCAGGACCATGGTTGAACTCAGTGTCTGTGTATTACTGAGGATCAATGGCTGCAAAATTCACTTTTGACACTCTCTGAGTCATTGCTAGCTAGCTTTCAACCCCCTAAGCTTCTCTCTCTCTCCACATGCTCAGTGTAGATAAGCCCTAAGATTTAAGGGTGAATGAGCAAAGCAATAAGACCAACAGGTTACACATCAAACACCAGGCATAACAGGATTCAGATAGTCTGAGTTTAACTTTAACAAATAAAATCCATGGCTAAAGCATTCTCCCAGGGTCACCAGGGATCCCCCTTTTCATGAATGCAAAACATGCTCTCTTGTTTCCTTCCTGAAGGATTGCAGGGTGCAGTTCTTGTCCCTCGGTTATAGTCCAGCAAACCACTGAAGTGCCCGCCCCTGCCCCCCGCCTCCATTGTTTGTTCTCCAGTGTGCTCTTTCTGTTGGTTCTATGTGCCAGTGGCTCTCAACCTTTCCCAACCACTTTACCCCTTTCAGGAGGCTGATTAGTCTCGCCTACCCCCAAGTTTCACCTCACTTAAAAACTACTTGCTTACAAAATCAGACATAAAAATACAAAAGTGTCACAGCCACACTATTACTTAAAAATTGCTTCCTTTCTCATTTTTACCATATAATTTTATAAAATAAATCAATAGGAATTCAAATCCCCCTCTCCCCAGGTATAACGCAAGCCAATATAACATGAATTCAGATATAACGCGGTAAAGCAGCACTCCGGGGGGACGGGGCTGCGCACTCCAGTGGATCAAAGCAAGTTCAATATAACTATGGATATTAGGAAAAACTTTTTCACTAGGAGGGTGGTGAAGCACTGGAATG